CACACACACACACACACACACACACACACACACACGTAGCCCATGAGCAGGTTACTTCATACCTCCAAGCCTCAGTTTCTTAATTCACATAGTGGTTACTACAATACCTATTTAATAGGTTTATTGTGAGAATTAAGTGAGATTAAAATATGGAAAGTGCTTAGAGTAGTTCCTGGCAGGGGAAAATCAACAAAGGAAAGTGATCAGTTTATCATAGTTGTCAATTGAGAAATATGTAACAATCTTGTTCAACATATTCATAATCAGTGCTGTGCATCAGACTCACCTGAAGAGCATTTGTAAAATGCACACAGTGAGTTGCTCTCCTCCTCAGAGAGGCTGTTGTACTATAATAGGTGTTTCATTGGTCTTAAAATGCTATGTGGATTGTAAAATGCATAGCCACATAAGGTATGCTCAAAAACTATAGTGAATGCTTAAATTTTAAAAATGTGTTACAGTAAAAAATACATTGCCACTAATACTTTCAAATACACCCTCTCACTATGAACACACACTATCACATCATTCTTACCACTTTCTGAAGCAGTTTACAATTTACATTTATGGAAATTTCTGTCAAATGAAAATATCACCTTATTCACAAGATGTGGTACTGTGAGACTTCTTGTTCTTCCCTAAACTCAAAATTACCATGAAAAGTAAACATTTTGAATTTATTTAGGACATTAAGATAGCCACTACAGCACAACTAAAGATAATCACAAAAGTGGACTTCCAGAACTACTTCAGAAAGTGACAAGAACAATGAGACGTCTTCAAAGCAAGGAAGAGTACTCTGAAAGGCATTAATGGTAAGCTGTCTTTTACTCTAGTAAATTTTTAATGTTTAAATACTCACCATATGTTTTGATCTCACCGCTTGCATGTACCAGCAAGTAAGAGAACATCATGGTTAACTACAATTATGATAAATGAATTAAGCTAGAAACAGCAAAAATATTGTATGACTTCACTTGTGTGAGAAATCTTTAAAAAAGAAGAAAAGTAAAATATACAGAGATAGAGAATAAATAGTGGTTACTGGCACAGAGAGGGAGCAGGAAATAAGCAGATGTAGGTCAAAGGATATAAAGAAGGATCTACATAGAATAAGTCTGGAGTTCCAATGTACAACACAAAGACTACAGTTAATGAAATAGGACTGTATTAGGGATTTTTGTTAAATTAGTAGATTTTAGGTTCTCTTGTCACCAAAACATTATGTGAAATGACAGACATGTAAATTTGCTTCACCACACTAACCATTTTACTACCATTATGTACCTCAGATATAGAAAGCACATTCAAATTTCAGAAATGAGAAAATGTGAAGCACATGTGCATCCTGGAATAGGTGGAATATAGAAGGTAGGGTTGAAACCTGGGGGTTGCTTCCCAGGGCATGTGTGGTACAATTTTGGCTCAAAACCACAAACCTTGTCGGCATGATAGCTGCAAAGAGGACTGGAAATTCAAATGCCTTAAAGTTGAGAAAGTCCACAGTTAGCACAACCCAGTATCATAACCCGCTGCATAATTCCATAGGCCATTAGAAAAATGAAAATATTTCTTCTTGGTATAACAGCATCCAACATCTAAACTTGGAAGACTTGGAAGAGGGCTTCACCACCGAATAGCAGTTACCCACATGATGAGAACGAAGAAGTCCACTGATACAGCAAGTCAGCTTGGAAGAGTGGATAGCACAGTAGCAGGAAAGTGTCAAGGTAATCAGCTGTAGTGGGGCTTTTTTGTTTTATTTTCCTAAACATGAATTCCAATCTTGAGATTTGAGGGTTATTGGGGGAGTTCTTTCAGGGAGGCAAACATGATTTACATCCTAGGGAGTAAAGAGGATGGTGAAGAGCATTCATATAAGACTTGGCCCTAGAAGGTTTTTATTTTTCATCTTCATATTTAAATTGCATTAAAAAGTGCTAAAAATAAGGAAAGCCAATTTTGTGTAGTCTGATTGTTCTATCAAGTTTATGAAACTGCAAATTTCCCTTCAATTTGGGAATCTTGGATGAAGGTAGGAAAAGCAGTGGTCCTATCCTCAACTTGACATCACTGTTCTCACCCATAAGAAATGCATTCTTTCTGTAATAACACAGAACTGGCAATATCTCCTGACAGTTCTATTTGGGAATTCAGCATTTCTAATAACCTCAATAAACTGTCTCTGATACCCCATGCTTATGAGTTAATTATATCAAGAAAATAAAATGATACTTATTTTTCTTTCTAAAAATACTGAGATAAGTCTCTAAAGAAATGTTAAAATAATATAGTTATATTCGCAGATTTCCAGCTATGAAAATTTTATTTCAGCTCTTGCCTATGCCTTGATTAGCAAAATCCCTCTAATGGGCATGATCACTAACTGTTAATTTTCTAATTGGGATTCAACTCAATGGCCAAAATAACACATGATACTTAAGTCAGGGAATACAAGCACACACTTCTGTAAGTTTCAAAGAGTGACAAATCATAACAATCATAATTAAAGTTGAAAATACACAAGTGTAGATGGTTTTCTCATTTCCTCACTGCATTAGAAACATTACACACTACCAAAGAAATCTATACTTCCAAAAATAGATTTTTGTGCCTTAGGAACATTTTTGTTCCTGCCTCATATTAAATTCCTTTCAGTAACTATATATGAAATACTTATCGTGATACTATTTTTAGAGCTATGATGTTCTTAAATGTTCATACTTCTAGTTATAGAAGGGGAAATACAAGATATGAAACTTTTAAAAAATAGACTAATGTTTGCAAAAAGAAAGAATAACACTGATTTCATAGCAATATTTACATAATTAAATGTCTGTCCATATAGATAAAATTTAATATAAAACAAAGTCACCTGGATAACAACAACTTAGATACAGTCACACTGGTCAAGGAGAGTATCTGTCAACTTGAGTGGGGAGGAAACATCTGCATCTTTATAGGAAACTAGTTCTTATTTTACCACACTAGAGATGACAGAGTTTTACTTGGGCTTTTGTTATTCTTTTGTTTCTGTTTCTGATTTTTAGTTGCACCATAAAGGTGATCCCCATTTTTTTGCAAAAGAAGAGGAAATCTGGTCTTGAAATTTTTCCCTACTATCCATCATGTGGTATCCAACTAAATCATTAGAACCACCAGCGCTTTACTGAGGGATTGTGTACCTGTTCTATTTTGGCCAAAATGTGTATAAATCTCCAAAAGTTTCATGTCATTGATGTAGCTCATGATTTTAAAGATTTGCAGTTTTTTCAAAAATATAAGAAAAGCCTTAATAAATAAGCATTAGCAGCAGTTCAGAGGTTCTGATTTATTTTAACCAAAACATTAATTACTTCAAGTCCTCTGTTGATGAGAAAATAGCAGCTCCCACTCCATGTATCAAAGCAATTTGTTATTATCCTTTGTATGCCCATAAGATATCATTGGTGTTTCTCATATTTATCTGAATGTTCAATTTGTTGTCAATAACCTCCTCTTAGTTATATGCATTTAGCTATGGACTTGTGGGTGTTATTTGCTTCATATGAAATATGCTAAAGAGAATAATACAATAATATCAGAGGATAATACAGTCAAATGCCCTTTCCTTGTTTGATGTAATGCCTAAAACTATAGAAAATGAAGACGACATCACACACATCACCCTAATGAGATCTTCAGAAGATTTTTCAACTTATCACCACAGATAAAATGCAGTAAGTAAACACCAAGTATGTGGACAGAGAGACAGGGAGACAGACGAGTAACACATTTTCAGTAGATATACCCACAGGATCCTAATTAACAGATGAACATCAGCTTTGATCCATATTCTAGGATCACAAGGATTCTTCCTTGGCTTCTGTTTGTTTCATTATTTTATTCAATTTCCTACATGGGAACATAAAGGACATAAAAAGATCATAGAAGGGAGAGCAAACACACTGAATAACTGAATCCAATGTTGAAAAGAAGCTAAAAGGTTAGGAACAAGGGCTAAATTTGATAAGGTTAAATAATCTAAATAAATTTAGAATGAATGAATAAGTCCAAAAGGACAGTTGCTTAGTGCAGGATGGAAAAGTTTGCTTTCAAAGCACACAGACAACTAAGACTTACTGATTTTAGTCTATAGAAAAGATAATTGGAATCAACAGTAAATGGATATTTGTTAAATTAATGAATGTAGTGTAATATCAGTGGGAGAAAGGAGGAAAGGGCAGAGGAAAGAAGGAAAGAAGGAAAGGGCAGAGGAAAGAAGCCAGGGGAGAAGAAAAGACAGAGGAGAGGAGAACATCTATATAAACAAGGAAGCAAAAGCTCTACTTGTGTCTGGCACAGCCCAGACCACCATGAAAGTATTAGAGTATAAGTCTGAGTAAATTGCACACATTCAGGAGGAAACTGTCTTGGTCATTTTCTGCATTGCTGGGACAAAATACTCAATGCTCAATTCTTAAAGGAGACGAAATTCATTTTGGCTCATGTTTTAGTCCACAGTCAGCCAGCTCCAAGGCAGGACAGCATGGCACAGGAGCATGGTGAAGGAATAGCTGCTCACCTCATGGCAGAGAGGAAGTAGAGAGAGTGTGAAAGGAGGCACTGGGAAGGGGGATACACCTCCAGTGACCAGACCCCACCTCCCAGCAGCAGACCAGCCATAAGTCCCCATGATCCAGCCACCTTCCAAAAGCCCTGCCTATGACCACATGAGACTTGGGGGGGGGGGCATCTAGATATAAACCTAACACACACACACACACACACACACACACACACAGAGTCATATCTAGCCTGGAGATCTGATCATCATGTTCAAATAGCCTTAGAACTTTTACAGTAAAAAGAATTTGAGGGCACTGTGTTTGATCAGAGTGGTCACAAGGTACACAGATAAATGGAAGTCACCAAAGCCTCAGTGTCACAGCTCTCCAAAGACAAAACGGCCCAGCTTGGGAGCTATTGACTACTCTGTCCAGGAGATGTTGAATCCTTGAGTGAATGATCCTTGGCAAGATGTACAAAGCTTATTCAAGCATAAAACAAGTGGTAGGTCCAGATAATCATTAAAAGTTTTTTTCATACCTTTAGATTCAAATATTCAGATATTTTTTCTGTGGTGCAAATTAGATTCTTACAAAACATTTTCCCTTATAAAAACAGTGAAAACAAATAGCCTCAAGGAAGTGAACCAAATCTTTAGGAAACCCTAAGGGACCCCTTACTTTCTTGCTTGTTTGCTCTTTAAAGAATTAATCTCCTTCCCCAGGACATATTAATATCTCTTTGTCTTCTGCTATACTGGCCAAATTTGAGAATTTGCACAGTCTGCTTTATATTGCTAAATATAATAGCCTATCCAGTATTCTTCCTTTGGGAGAAATCCCTACTCACTTTCATATATAATGTGCATGGATCTGAGGCATATCTCCCTTTCTTCAATAGAGACTATTCCCAAAAGTAAGCCTGAAACATGACAAACATCTGCTCCTATACACAGTTCAATACATGATATTGATATGTATTATTGCTTGGAAAATTCTGAATTTAAATTCTGAATTTAAATTAATGAATTAAATTCTGAATCAATTCTGTAATTCTCAATTTAACCCACTCCTGTACAACCTCTGCTTCCCCCACCCCATAGCCCAGCTACAGGGAACTGAAGTAAATCAGAATAATTGTATATTTGCCTAAAAAGCTATAACTACTTAGGAGATTCTGCTAAAACAGAAAATACAGTGGTAGCAGTAGTATTCCAAATCTAATATAAATTAGTTATGTAAAAACATTTATCTAATGTAATAAATATTTTAAAATTCATAAGTATTTTTGGGTATCTACTATACTTACAACATTAAAAGATGTGGTTTTTTCCATTAAGTTTATTGGTATATTTTAGGTTTAAAATACAATTACATTCATCATTAGGTTCTTGTACCTTTACATGATGTATCTTAGTTCTTATTTTTCCCCCTTCCCCTGCCCTCCCTTCACCCCCTTCCCCCCTCCCTATTTGCAAAGACTTTGTTTCCATTTTTTTTCTTTTCTCATATTTTTTCTTTTCCCTCTTTTCCTTTCCTCTACCCCTCCCACTTCCCCTACTCCTTTAGACCTTTTCTTCCTATTATACAATATCAATTATACATTGTTTTAATTACAACATCAAAATTTAGAGGACATTACCACAGATTTTACAAAATTTCAAAGGATATAGAAAGCACATTACAAAAATCTTTTTTTAAATAAATTTGACAACTTCTAAGAAGTACCTTGGAAGACAAATTAATGAAACTGACTCTGGAGGAAATATAAAATTTGAATAGCACCTATTAAAGAAAGTATATTCTTAGCTTGAAAACCTACCTATATGGTGTTGTTTTTCCAAATTATGAATTTCTGGGTGTCTCAGTATTTATTAAGAGTATACATGCCTAGTCCTTCTTTTAATAATTGGATGCAATTATTGTTGTCATATGAAGAAATATGAACAAAATTTTTAAATCCTGATTTCTAATCATCTACAGAGGGATGTACCATGTACTTGTAGAATCCTCATAGTTAGGTTTACAAAGACCCTCACTGTAAACTGAATTTTACTTCTAAGGCTTTGGACCCAGACACCTCTCTGGTCTCCAGCCCTGGGGCAGTGACCTGGACTTCATGTGAGCTTGGCGAATGGCTCCTGTTGTTTGGGATAAGGATTAATGGAAACAGACCCAGGAGC